AAAATTATATGGAGGCTGAAAACTAGGCATCCTGAGTTGGAAATTGATGTATAATGACATCAATATATGGATAGGTGAGCTTGCAGATCTGTAATTTTTATTTTCAGCAGGCACAGGCCTGGACCAACAAGGACAGTTTTTCTTTAGAGATATGTAATCTGAGTATCAAATAACCAGTTTGCAAATTTTGGAATTCAATCCATTTGTGGACGATCAAATTCACCAGATTGCAATGTTAAAATTATAAGTGATAATTAATCACTTATATTTCAAACCACAGTGTCCATTTTGTTTAAAAGATACTTATTGAATTCCTACTATGTGCTAAGCACTACAATAGGCAGTGATCATAGGGCGGTAAACAAAATGGATTATGATCTCTGATGTTACAGGTTTATAATCTAATTTAGAAAATAAATAATAAGCACCAAATTAATACATAATGCAAAGTGTGACAATCAATATGAAGAAAAAGAGAGACTCCTAAAATCACAGTAGACTTTAAGAATAAGTGAAAATTAACCTTGTGAAGGGTTAGAGAAAGGACATTCCTGGCAAAGGGCATATCCCAAAGCTCTGGAATAGAAAAGGATTTGATTCCTTCAAGAAATGGAAAGCCAATATGAACAAGGAGGAAAAGCCTTGAGATGACACTGGGGAAGAATACAAGGGCAGGGCCTGCAGAGCCTTGGAGATGGAAGGTTACTCTAAGTACAATGGGAAGTTGCAAAAGAGGTAGTGATGCAATTTACATTTTTAAAATGATTATTCAAAAGGTCAGATGTGGCCCGGCCGGGAATGGCTCAGCGGTTGAGCATCGACCTAGGATCCAGGCGATCGGGGTTCGATTCCTGGTCAGGGCACATGCCCGGGTTGTGGGCTCGATCAATGACTCTCTCATCTTTGATGTTTCTATCTCTCTCTCTCCCTCTCCTTTCTTCTCTCTGAAATCAATAAAGATATATTTAAAAGAAATAATAAAAACATAAAAGTTTAAAAAAAAAAAAAGGTCAGATGTGGAAATGGATTAGGTGGAGGCAAGAATCATGTCTCTTTCTATATAAACTCCCCATTCACAAAAATGACAACTTCCAATTTATAGTCATATTAATGTAGCATATTTAGAGTTATTTCTTTTAAAGAATTATAAAAGTTTAACATCCCACACATTTTTTTGTTTACTAAGCATCTCTCTCCCAAGAAAACATACTATTGCTAAATGAATGAAAACTGAAATCTTTTCTATTCAGGCAGTATAAGTTCTAACTTACATTGAGAATGAAGACAAATTACTATTTCCAAGACAGAGGAAGGAATAAAAATAAATGCCTTTTCATGTAATGTTGCATTCAGAACTATTTCTATTTTATAATCAGGGGAAACTATTCACTTCACTGAGGATGCTGGGACAGAAACAGAGCTAGAATTAGACATTCTCCGTAACTATTTCTGTTTTTGTGGCCCAGTATTATTTCTTTCTGTGGGGCATGTAAGAACGGGCAACTAGTCCTCTTCATCATTCTCATCAAGTTTAAATGTAGCCTTAGCTGGTTTGGCTCAGTGGTTAGAGCATCAGCCCAAGGACTGAAGTGTCCCGGGTCTGATTCCAGCCAAGGGCATGTATTCAGTTGTAAGCTCAATCCCTGGCCCCACTCAGCACTGAGGGGGAGGCAACCGAACGATGTGTCTCTCTGACATCGATGTTTCTCTCTCTCTCTCCTGCTTCCACTCTCTCTGAAAAATAATGGAAAAAATATCCTTGGGTGAAGATTTAAAAAAATAAAATTAAGTGTAGACTCCTGGCAAAATCAAGTATGTGTAACTGGGTAACACAATAATACTTTGAAAAATAATGTGCTCTTCTATTACGGCTTTGAGAACAAGACCCATGGCATGGTCAGTCCAAGGATGGGGGCTGGAAATTAGTACAGCTTAAAGAATGACGGCAAAAGCAAAAGTAATACTTAGCTTTGCACTTCCCAGTGAATTAATAGGTATGATATTGATTAAGGTGATAATGTGAAAATTATATCCAGCTGAATCTTGGGATAACATATCTAAGAATATAAATATGTATATTTATTTATAAACATTTATTTTTTATATTTATATATACCCCTAAATTTTTAATTTGTATGTATGTCTATAATGGACACAAGATAACTTCTATTGAATATAAAACCCTGTAAACTATATTATCAAATCCTTTTCATTTAGTAGTCAAATATTTTAATCAAGTTTGCCTCTTTATAAACTCAATATATATTCATATAATGTTAAATATTCTTAATTTTTTTGCTTTTTTCCAAAATAATGTATTATAGGTAATAAAAATAACCTCCCAGGCATTGGCACTCAGATGGTAGGGCACTGTATCGATGCTAAGGTCATATTCAGTCCTCAGTGAACACCAATTTTAAAATGTTTTGGGTTGTTTACAGAAGTCACAATCCTTCGGAATACAAATCACTCAAAACAACCAGTAAGTATTCTAAATTCCTTTCTGAACTGTCATACCATTAACTTGGTTTGGCCAAGATAAAACAATTTGAAAAACAAATGTACATCACAGTGTATCTCCCTCCTGGGTCAACTAATGTAATACTATTTTGTACTTTCCTCGGTTGAAAGCACCAATAGTCAGGCAGTCCTCTTTCCAAACAAACAAAAAATTGCAGCTTTAAAGTAAAATAAGTACTCACAGAATCATCAATTCAAAATTATAAAAACATGTCAAATTTTATTTAAAACATTTTGGAGTACTTAAAATACAGTTTTGGAAGAAGGAAATAAATAAGTGAATGTATTCTATTAAGCTCTAATGCTTCAGGAAACCACCAAACAATCATTTTATGACCCTACCCAGCTACTAGAGATCCTAGAGATGGGATGAGATGCCATGACTAGGAGACTGAAACAATGAACCTTTGTGACCAGCTACAGGAATACAGCAAAGCCAGAGACTGCCTGGAAGCCAGTGTTCAAGGCAGAGCCAGCAGTCAGCAGTCAGGAGAGCCATCGTGAGTTATGGAGCACACACATACAGGTGTTCAAAGCAAGCTTTGAATCACATAGGTAACAGAGGCCAAAGCAAGGCACAGAATCAGAAATCAAAACAAGAATTCACAATCATGCACATGGAGCACACACTGTCTTACCCATCAGTCATGTGAGCAGGTCTAGTTACAGCAAGACTAGTGCATGGTGTTCTCATATGTGTGATATAAAACTGAAACTTGTGGACACAGACAATAGTTGGTGGTCACCAGAAGAAGAGGGTGGTGGGGTGGTGAGGCCTAATACATGGTGACGGAAGATGGTTTGACTTTGGATGGTGGGCACGCAGTGCAATAACACAGATTTTGTATCATAGAAGTGTACACTTGAAATCTATATGATCCTATTAACCAGTGTCATCCCAATAAATTTAATAAAAAAATAAAATTTAATTTAAAAAAATAGTATGTTTTAGCTGCAGATAAATCAGTCCCAGTCATTCCTTCCACTGTAGTGACTTCCCAGACACTGGGGACTAAGGATGCCATTCATTTTTCCCACTATCCATCAGTTGGTACTCCAGAAGGAAACTCAGACTGGTTACAGACTAAATAAAGAACTTATATTTTCTTTTCATGTCTGAGTTGTAGTGTGAGTTAAATTTCCACCCTGCCACATTAGCTATTGGCTGGACTTCAAGCAGAATTAAAGGGCAAAGCAAGTCTGAAATTAGCCATGGGAATGTTCAGCTAACCAAAGCTAGGAGACAAAATTAAATGAGAAAAAACAAAAAGTGCCATACATCTTTTTTCTTTTTCACAGCTTTGTTCAAATATAATTCATATACTGTACAATTCACCCATTTCAAGTGTCCAATTCGATGGCTTTAAGAATATTCAGACTTGTACATTCATCACCACAGTCGATTTTAGACTCAAAAAGAAACCATATTCCCCTTAGCCATCACTCTAGGCCACCACTAATCTACTTTCTGTCTCTATAGATTTGCCTATCTGGACATTTCATAGAAAGAGACCCATACAGTAATTTGGGGGTGTTTTTGTGATTAGTTTCTTTCACTCAGCATGCTTTCAAGGTTCATCCATGCTGCAGCATGTATCAGTACTTGCCAAATACATTTTATTTATTCACTCACCAGCTAATGGACATTTAGATTGTTTCCACTCTTTGGTTATTATGAATAATGTTGCAAAAAATATCCCAGTACAGGCTCTTGTGTGGACATATGTTTTTACTTCTCTTAGGTATATATCTAGGCTTGGAATTGCTGAATTATATGGTAATTCTATGTTTAACTATTTGAAGAACTGCCAGACTGTTTTCCAAAGTGGTTGTACCATTTTCCATTCCCACCAGAAGTGTGGGAATGGAATAAGGATTTCAGTATCTCCACATTCTTGCCAATAGTTGTTACTATCAGTCTTTTTAAAAAAAATAACATCCCACCCTCTATTTGAAAACATCCTACCCTCTATTTGGAAACAGCCCAAGTGCCCATCAGTAGATAAGTAGATAAAAAGCTGTGGCACATTTACACATGGAATACTATGCAGCTGTGAAGAGGAAGGACCTTTTGGCCTTTGGCACAGCATGGAGGGAACTAGAGAGTATTATGCTAAGTGAAATGAGCCAGTCGGAGAAGGACAAGTACCAAATGATCTTCTTAATATGTAGAATATAATAAACAAAATAAACTGATGAACAAAGTGGATCCAGTGACATAGAAGCTTGGAACAAACAGGGATCTCAGAGGGAAGGCAGGGAGGGAGGAGTGGGTGGGGAGAGATTAATCAGGGAACTTGTATGTTTATGGGCATGGCCCATGGATGGGGACATTGGTGTGGGGAGGGCCTGGAGGTGGGATGGATGTGGGGTGGAGGGGATCAGTGGGGTTAAAAGGGGAACATCTGTAATGGTCTGAACAATAAAGATTTAAAATATATATATATTTGAAAATCTTCAACAGAACAGTGCATAGTTGCCTGAAGGGCACGGTGCTTGAAGATCAGGACAAAAAGGCCATTTATCAGAAAAGCTAAGTTTGCTGCCTAGTAAGGATCAGAAGGTCTGATCCTGATTACAGAATCTTGGGTTGTCTCCCACTTCATCCTTCCAGACCATCCCAGAAGATCTGTAAGATTCCACCTGGGAAAACACTAGGAGTTCTTGGAAGAGCAAGAAGGAAGAGGACTGTTGGTTGAAATAAAAACAGGGTTGAATGAGTTCCAGAAAGCAGGCTTCTCAAACTCGTGGACAACCATCTGCAGAAGAAGACAACGTCAAAAAACCAACTAGAAGCAATATGCAGAGAAGTAAGATGAGAGGGGCCTCATCAGGAAAGAAGACTGCTGGTCCACAGCAGAAGAATCTGGAACCAGCTCTCCCAGGCAGATCGGGGGGTCGCTCTGCAGAGAACCCCCCTTCAGGATCTGTGAGGAAGACAAGAAAGAACAAGCAGAAGACTCCTGGGAACGGAGACGGTGTCAGTACCAGGGAAGCCCCTCAGCCACCTCGGAAGAAAAGGGCCCGGGCTGACCCCACTGTTGAAAGCGAGGATGCATTTAAGAATAGAATGGAAGTTAAAGTGAAGATTCCTGAAGAATTAAAACCATGGCTTGTTGAGGACTGGGACTTAGTTACCAGGCAGAAGCAGCTGTTTCAACTTCCTGCTAAGAAGAATGTAGATGCCATTCTAGAAGAGTATGCAAGCTGCAAGAAATCACAGGGAAACGTCGACAATAAGGAATACGCAGTGAATGAAGTCGTCGCGGGAATAAAAGAATACTTCAACGTGATGCTGGGCACTCAGCTGCTCTACAAATTTGAGAGGCCCCAGTATGCCGAAATCCTCTTGGCTCACCCTGATGCGCCGATGTCCCAGGTTCATGGAGCGCCACACCTACTGAGATTATTCTTAAGAATCGGAGCAATGCTGGCATATACGCCCCTTGATGAGAAGAGCCTTGCATTATTGTTGGGCTATTTGCATGATTTCCTAAAATATCTGGCAAAGAATGCTGCATCTCTGTTTACTGCCAGCGATTATAAGTTGGCTTTGGCTGAGTACCACCACAAAGCCCTGTGAGGGTCTACTGACCACTCACTATTATGTCTGGTATCTATAAACACTCTTTTTGTTCTTAGTCTTTTTCTTGTATAATTGATGTCCTTTGAAATCTTTAATGTATAACAGGGCTTATATTTCAGCTTTTCTGTTTCGTTTTAAACAGAAAATAAAAGGAGTACAAGCTCCTTTTCTCATTTCAAAGTTGCTACCAGTGTATGCAGTAATTAGACAAAGAAGAAACATTCAGTAGAACATTTTCTTGCATAGTTGGCAACATTGCTTGAATGCTGGTGGTTCTATCCCTTTGCCAGTACACAATTTTCTAATTATGTGTTAATGCTACGTGATAAAAATGCCCTGATTTCCTAGTGCCAAAGGTTCAACGTAATGTATATACCCGAAAACTCATGCATTTGTGCTCTTTTTTTAATGGTGCTTGAAGTAAAACAGCCCATCCTCTGCAAGTCCATCTGTGTTGTTCCTTAGGCATTCTATCTTTGCTCAAATTGCTGAAGGATGGTGATTTGTCTCATGGTTTTTGTATTTGAGTCTAATGCGCGTTCTAACATGATAGAGGCAATGCATTATTGTGTAGCCATGGTTTTCTGGAGAAGTTGGTATTTTAGGAACTGTATTTCAGATCTTAAATAAAATTTGTTTCTAAATTTCAAAAAAAAAAAAAGAAAGAAAAAAAGAAAATCTTAAACACATCTTCCAGATCTTTGGATCTGGAAATTGAACCAGTCCCCTGGTTCAATTGTGGTTAAAGAAACCCACTTACAAAAGGCAAAATCCTGAGCACAGACATGCCTAATGAACAAAAAGGGAAAAAAAGGCCAGAGTTGTCTGGATGTGTGTGGGCATATGAAGGGGGTAACCATATGAAATTTAGTCAACCATTTTTTGGCCTACAAAAATAGTATAGTCATAGGGTTCGATCTAATACAAAATAATTCCCATGGTGTGTAGGATGAATGTATTGTGAATCAGTTAGATAAGTAGTTGAGGTGAGTAGGAAGAGCCTTGCACTGCCTTCTAAGTTTCAACCTTATCCCATAGGTGACAGAGAAGTTGATTCACAAAAGAACTTTTGACAAATGGCCAATAAGTGTATTTTTTAATGCTTAAAACATTTTAGGTTTAAAAGAAAACTATATATTATTTTCAGTACCACAAAGAAAAAATATTTAATGATAATATTCAATATTAATAATGACTCAGGAAAGCTAGCTGCTCTCATATATATCTGGGTGTGTAAACTGAGAAAATCTGGAAGGCAATCTGAATACCCTTTGACCAAGCATTCTTCTTCTAGGAATCAATTCCAAGGAAATAGTCATGGATTTTTTTTTTAAGTTTAGCCATCAGGATATTCTTAATGTCTAAAAATATCAAGTTGGTTAAATAAATCATGAATCATCCTTATAGGTAAATACTATGCAACTACTTTAAATATTTAGGTGAATATGTAATAACATGGAAATGCTCATGAAATTTTGGTATATGAAAAGAATTAGGTTATAATATATGTGTGTCAGTCAGGACTCTTAAGAACTATATCAGACTGACTAAGTTTGAATTTCAGAGCCACCATTTACAGTCATGTGACCTTGATCAAGTAACCTAACATCTCTGTAATTCAGTTTCAGCATCTATAAAACGGAGATAACACCAAAACATACATCAGAGAGGTGTTGTAATAATTAAATGAGTTAATACACATAAAGCACTTTGAAATTTGCCTGACACATTATCTTAGACAGTAAGCACTAAGAGTTACTTACTGTTAGCATTTGTTGTCAGTAAATTAAGTCAACTTTTAAGCTCATTTAAGAAGTAAAGGTGAAAAGACAAAACACTGGGCAAGAACTGTACCCAAAACACTCCACAGAGCTGGTCTTGTGAAGTCACCACCACAGCTGCCAAGCACTGACCCCACGGCTTGTACTGAGAAGTCCTCAGATGCTGGACACCACACTGCCATGGAACAGCTGTCTCTCCTGCCACTGGAAACCGGATGCAGCTGCCATGGCTGCCATCCCCTGGCCAGAATGGATTCTGCGTCATTCCTGCCGCTTTGAGTCACCAGCTCCTGAATTAAAGTCTGGAGAGGATGCATCTGTTTGGCTGCATGAAGTCCCCAGCTCCCAGATGTAAGGGAGGTTGAGAAAAGGAGCATTGAGTGTCTATAGAAAAGGCAGATTCTACTTTGCAAGACAGAGGATTCAGCACACTCGGAGAGAAAATGCATACACTGGGCAACAAAAGAAAGATATAAATGATTCCTTTATAGCTTAAAAATACAGGTATAACCTGAACATATATTTACATGCAAAGAAAAAAAGGACTAAAAGGATATACCCCAAAGCATTAATGATTGACTGTGAATTGACCATTATAGCTGATTTGAACTTTTTATCTCCTGACTCTATAACTTTCCAAATCTTCTACGACATAGAAAAGACCTATTCTCTTTCAAAGCAAAACTGGGCAATATCAGATCTCCATTTTGGAAAATAATTGAGTTTTTCTTAGAGGTGGCCGTGGAATGGGAAGTGGGAGACTAGATTCGGGTGGTCACTGTCACCCTAAAGCAGGCCCTTGCTACTCAAAGTGTGGTCAACAGACCAGAAACATCAGCTTGACTCAGAAACATATTAAAAATGCACAATCTCAGACCCCAGCCCCACTCCACTGAAAACAAAGAAGATTAATCAAGAGGTATTCTAGAAGTACAAGCAACAAGGCTTGGCAATTGACAATATGAAAAAAGGCATGAACCTTGGAAATGTTTCCAAACTTGGAAGAAGGCAGGGTCATCAACAGAAATGAATTGCTAAAACAGGATCCAGTTTTAATGGAAAAAGATAAATTTGGTTTTAAACATATGAGGTTTGAGAACTTGAAAGATGGATGCTCAGTCTGGGAAATACAGAACTGGGAGCCAATAAGAAATGTCAAGATTGGGTTTACAAATTTGAGAGTAATCTGAGAAAAGGAGATAAGAGAAACCACATGAGCATGCAAAGCAAGAGATCCAAGCAAGATCTTTTATTAATACCTATATTTGGGAAACGGGAGAGAATAAGTCAGACAATGGGTGGCCCCTACTAAGATCATCAGGAGACTATAGTGTCAAAGAAAGTAAAAGACAGATGTTTCATTATTATTCAATTCTTTCCTCCTTTCATGCCAAACTACAAGTGATGCATTCAATTATACTCACAGGAAACAAGACAGTAATGAATTAATGGAGATCTTAATTCTTGAGACATAGAATAACCAAAATATATGGAGCAGGGGGTGGAAGAAGAGAACACTGATACCTTGGGTATTATAGTAGCAAGTCTCATTATCAGAATATATTCAAAGTTTTGTGGCTTTTTAAAAACTTGTGATGAAAATTTTGCAATTTTTACAGTGTTGCAAATCAAACAAGACCATGACTAATCTTTGTTTTATCCATTCGTTCGTTTATTCATTCAACAAACATTTACCGAGCATTTACTATGAGCCAGGCACTCTTCTGGATGTTGACAAAACAGTTAACAAAACAGACAAACCCTTTGCCCTTTGGGGTTCACATTCTAGAGAGGGAGACAGATAATAAAAAAAAAGAAATAAGTAAACATATTGTATGTAGATGGTGATAAATATTATGGAAGGAAGGAATACAGGGGTGGTTTCAGAGTTGTGTTTTAAAAGAGGTGACAGGGAAGATGTCACTGGGAGAATGAATAGACCACAGGGAGATAAGAAAGCTGGTCGTGCAGGTATCTGAGGGAAGCGTATTTCAGGGCAAGGCTGAAGTGGACATGGTGTGGCCAGGAGGCCAGTGTGGCTGGACTGAAGGAATGAAAGGGTGAGCAGGAAAAGAGGACCACAGAGTAAAGGCCATCAGAAGTTTTGAGCATATCTGTCATTGGACATTATCTGTCTTGGATTTTAACAGAATCATTCTGCCTGTTCTTTCAAGAACAGATGGTAGTTGGAAAACCAGATAGGTGGCCATTGTAAACACCTAGGCAAGAATAATGGTGATTTGGACAGGCACCTTTGACAGTTTTATCTCTTTTCAGATAGCTACCTTTTTTGTTTTTTTTTCTTGGATAGTGCACTAAAGTGGGTTGGAGGAGGCGGGAGACATGGTGTGTATACTAGAGAAAGGAACGCAGAACTCTCAACTCTTCTAGTTAAATAATTCTATGCATTTTCACATTTATCTTCAGCCACACAAAAAATATGTAAGCAATTTAATTTAAAATTTTAAACAATTTAAACATTTAATATGTTTAAATATTTAAATCTTCTTAGTTATTACAGCTTCAAGAAAAAGTTTTTTAACAAACTAAAAATCATTATCATTACCATGTCAATAAATTCATATTTAAGTCAAGGTAACAATAAAAGAAACTGGTCATTTTTTTTAAAGACATGAGCAATATTTTTGTAATGGAGAGTCAGTAAATAATGACTGATTCTGAAGGGTACTATTTTAAACCTTCCACTCTTTCAATGTTATAATTAAAACAAAAATGAAAGTGAAATCTAGAGAGTACACACAGAGATCTGAGTCACATCAGGACATGTAATTTGCTTTTTCTGTGGATCTGAGACCAAAGGCTCCATTTATTTGCTAAAGATGAAAAGATAAACTGATTATTTATTATTCTAAAATGCAGAGGCAACTGTCAGGTTAAACACTGATTCAGAAAGAAGGGTTGTCAACACTATTAATATTACCCTAGATCAGCGATTTGCAACTGGTGCGCAGCAAGAATTTTTAAAACAAGCAATTCCGGACTGTTTAGTCAGGGGCACTGACCTCTTTTCCCTTAAACTGTCAAATAAAAAAATGACAACAGCCAACACAACAATAGCCGTCAGTGTGAATGAATCAAAATTATACCTATTTTTTTGTCAGATCAGCAAAAAAATATATTTTTTGGTGTACCACAGAATTTTAGTAATTTAATTTCTGTGTGCCATGAGATGAAAAGGTTGAAAATTGCTTCCCTAGATCTGTAGAGAGGTTTATTGTTCACAAAGCACTTTCACTAACATTCTCTCTCTTGAGCCTCATAATAAACCTATTAATATGACTGTTATTAATTTACAGATGAAGAAACCCAGACACGGAAAGCTTAAGGGACTTATCCAAGGCCTCCCAGCTAGTTAGCAAGTACCAGAGCTAGGACCATAATCTTCACTTTCCAGCCCACTGCTCTTTACACTATAGCAACCTGTGTTCTTTTCTAGATACAGAATTGGGGGGGGGGAGGATTTTTTTTTTCTCCTGTGCAGGAATCATCAGGTCAACAAGACCAAAGATGGAAAGCAGCACATGGAAAGGTACTAGCTTGGGAATAATAGCCTCGTGGTAAATTCTGTCGGCCCCATTTAATGTTAGAAAAAACAAGGAACAGAGGTTTGTTTAGTCAAACACTGGCTCTTTAATTATTCAGGGGCTGGCTTGCCATTTTGGCAAACCTTAGGTATTTTGTCACTACTCCCTTTTAAGGCTTGCTTGATCTCCTGGTTGCTCTTTAGCACCTCCACCAGAGGGCAGGCAGGGCAGGAAGACAGCATGTTTGATCAAAAAGTTGGAAGAACAAAACTTAAGTCGCGGCCTTAATTTAGGCTCTTGGAGTAATTCTAGATTTCAGTTATTAATGAAAACTT